CATGGCTAGCCGCCATGGTGGTTCTTCTCAGTTGCCGGCCAACATCTCTATGGCAGGATCTCTAGTGGAAAAATCGCACCCACACCCTTGATCGGAAAAATAGTCCAACCACCCACCTGGTGGTTCTGGCAGCAGCAACACAAGCGACCGAGAGTGGCCGTACACAGCCCCGACATCGTCTTCAGCGGCTTCGCCCTTGTCAGCAGCACCAGCGGCAGCCATGGCTGGTGGTTCACGGTCTCTACTATGGAGAATACTCACGACATCGCTCCATCCCAACAACAACCCCACGATGCATCTTCTTCACAAATCCACGAGCTCAGCCACCCTTTCACGGCGGCAGAAAAGCATCCCCGGCGACAGCTCGGTCGGAAAGAGTGATGTAACAGTTGCGCCGCTGCTCTTGGTGGGATCTGCTCCGGCCATTCCAGACGTCATAATAAACAAGAGGAGGTTGGCTCCGGTGGTTTGGGACCCCAACGATGGAGTTTGCACCCGACGGCAGGGAGGGGCGTAGCGGCGCAAGAGATCGGAGATGAGAGGGTGGCGGCCGAAGGTGGTCACTTGTATGGGTGGCGGCTGCATAGCGAATAGGGTTAGGGTTTTAGGTTAGAGAAGGTGACGGGTGGGAGGTTATATACCCGCCTCTTAAAGAAATTTCCCCATATTAACAAGATTAGTCCCTCCATCCCCCAATTCTTTCAAAACTAATCCCAATTTAGACTTTTAACCTTGCCTCCTGAAACTCTTTACAATTCAAGTCCGAAATGTTACCGATCAGCCCTTCCCTCCACAACTATTCCCAACATAAGTCCAGAATTTACTTTTTAGCCCCCTACTTCTAAAATTCTTTGCAAAATAAATCCCAAAATTACACTTTAACCCTCGGAATTCAAAATTATATCATTTGGCTCCCTGAAACCAACACCCCATTAATTATTATACGATTTTGGGCTATAATAATATAATAAAATAATAAAATTACTTCTTGGGATTCCGGTTTATTATTTTAATTATTCTTCTTAAAACGGGATGTTATATATATATATATATATATATATATATATATATATATATATATATATATATATATATATCAGGGTTGCATAAATCGCTCGACGTAGGCTAATCGGTGGACTGGGGTCAAGGGATTAATCGGCTAGGCGGGGATTAATCGGGGGACTAATCGGGAACCATTAATTATTAATAAAAATATTTAAAAAATAATAAATATAACATTAAACCTAAGAATATAACATTATAAATAAAAAATATATATTAAAATTTTAATAAATATAGCATTATAACATGAAACTATGATTAAAAAAACTCCTTTGCTATAAGAAGTTCATTGACATGAGGTTAGGGACTTGAAGGAGGCCATGCTGCAAGAAACCCTTTAAGCCTTTTACATAACTCACTGCTTAAAACATCTGGTGTGGTGCTTGAGAGATCAATAGAGCTGGAAAAATGGAAAAAGATATTCAATTTCAGACATTTGCAAAACCAATATGTGTTCTTGCTGCATACACATACACACATAAAACCAAGAATTGAGGGATGAAGAACTAACCTGCAATCCAATCTATGTTTTTGCTACATACACATACAGCCAAATACCACCAACTGCTCCATTCGTTTTTGCTCCAACCACCAAACACGTCCATTGACCACCTTCATGTTTGCATCTGTTCTGCACCATCACACTCCACCACTGTCGTACCATAAACAACCGAGAACTAGAACCAAACCACCTACATCTTCAATCCATGGTTCTTAATAACTTCACAGATGATCAAGGGACCAGAATTTTAGTCAAGAAATTACCCGAATCCAAATACCCTTCACTCAGGCAATTGATCGAACACTTGGTGGGCATATGTTTTCATACACAAAACATTTAGAGATTTTGGTCAAGAAATTACCCGAATCAAATACCCTTCTGCCTTACCTGTTACAACCAAGACAGAAATCCAACCAACAATTAAAAAAGATGAACAAACAACAAACGATTTTAGAAAGATGAAGAAAGAACAAACAATTTTAAAAAATCATTGCTTACCTGATGTTGCAGAAAGAACAAAGGATTTTAGAAAGAACAGACGATTTTAGAGGGTGTTCCAGTCTTCGTTTTCATTCCAAGTTGCGAATTTATCTAATGTTGCTGGAACTGCGACTGCGAAGGCGTGAAGTCGTGAACTGAAGCTTGGAAGGGGACTGCGACGTGTTGCTTGAAAGAGATGACGAACCGGCGGCCGGAGCTAAAGTCGACGCGTGAGAGGCCGGAGCTAAAGTCGAAAGAAGAAGCAGATGCGCCGATTTCCCTTTGTTCGTTCTCGTTCGTGGGTTGTGTCCAGAGAGGCAGAGAGAATCTCGATTTTTTTTACTGCATCGAATGAGAAATCGGAAGCAACCTTAGAAGCATTCGTTACATTTTGACAATTTTGCCCTTAAATTTTTTTAAAATTATGTTGACTTTCGTTGACCGATTTGGGCGCCTAGACCCGTCTAGACCCGCCTAGACCCGTCTTTGACCGACTTTGACCACGTCCGATTATATAGTCCGATTAGCTATAAACGTCGACGGTAGAGGACCGCCAAGCGCCTAGGCGCCGATTAATCGGCCGCCTAGGCCGATATTTACAACACTGATATATATATATATATATATATATATATATATATATATATATATATATATATATATATATATATATATATATATATTAAGGGTGAGGAGTCAAGAGAGCATTCATTCATAATCATATTGTAGAGAGAGAAAGTTAGAGAGAAGAAGAGTGTGTGTGTGTGTGTGTGTGTGTGTGTGAATCTTGTGTAATGATCATCAATCTTATCATCAATACATCATAGATTCATCTTCTTCTTCTTCTCCTTCTTCTCCATTTGATCTTGCATCATCCACTTGATTGGCATTCCGCACCATCAAGTGGATCTGATTGATACATCAAGCAAAATTTGGGACTTACAGTAATTTACTCCATATTTTTTTGGTGGTCAACAAGTCAGTTTGTGAACAGCTCTTAGACCATCCGTTATACCCACCACTAACCACTATAGTGATGGGTGTCACATCATCACCACACTCCCTACCACTGACCATGGGATAGCTACCACTAAACACACCACTCCACCTCATTTTTTTATTTAAATTTAATTCAAAAATACATTAAAATACAATAAAACATATTTTTATTTAAATTTAATTCACAAACACAATAAAACATATTCTTTTTAAATTAGTTTTTTATTCAATGAAACAAAGATTACAGTAATTTAAAACACAACATAAAATATAAAAAAACATAATAATAAAAAAACATAAAAATGCAACCACAAACAACTTAAACTAGTTTTTAACCCTTATTTTTAATGACTAAATTTTGCGGACTCTCTCAATTTTCGCCAAGCTTTGACGTGTTTAAACGGTGTGTGTTTCGTGTCTTCATATTGGTGCATGGCCACAGCAAACAGGTCACCTTCGTCTACGTTGTTTATAACAAAGTTATAAATCCCATTAAATTCAAGGCATTTAACCCTCATGTCGCGAAACTTCAAACATATTTCATCAAGATTACGACTTTGACAACCCATTAAATTATGGAAAACGTTTCCAACTTTTACCCTAAAATTAGGAGGTATTTCTGGGTCTTCTGAAACAGCTACCCATGCTAATGCTAAGTTCTATTCTTCATTTTCTGACCAATTCATCCTTTTAGGAGCCATTGGTTTTGAATTTATCAAGAAAAAAAAGTGTGTGATTGTGAGAAGAAGAGAAAAGAATTGTTTGAGTAAAATGAATGAATATGTATGGTATTTATTAGGGGTGTGCGCGGTGCAGTTTAGAGCCAAAACCGCAAACCGCACCGCATATGCGGTTTGAATATTTTAGAAACCGCAAACCGCACCATAGATGTTCGAAACCGCATTATGCGGTGCGATTTGATGCGGGCGGTTTATGCGGTTTGGTTGCGGTTTGTGCGGTTTAATGAGTTGTTCAACATTAAATCTATCAAAAAACCAAAAAACTGACCCGGTTATAAAAATTGATTGCTTTCATTTTATAAAAACAAATACAATTTTCAAGTTAAATCGTTTTTAATAAATTGTGATTCATGCTACTATAGTTTTGTAAGTGTCATTGTTATTGCTTTATATTGCCGTTATAGTTGCTATATTCTTGTAAACCGTGAGATCTTCATCTAATATTGATTTAATGTTACGTTATAGATATTTGGTTATTGTAAGAAAATATATTTAAATACATCGTTTCTAAATCGTGATTTGAAATTATAACAAAGTAAAGAAAAAAAAGTATATATATAACATACGGCGCGGTGCGGTTTGAACCGCGGTTTTATAAATACAAACCGCAAACCACACCGCATAGTGCGGTTTGATAAAATGATGAACCGCAAACCGCACCACGAAATTCTAAACCGTATTATGCGGTGCAGTGCGGACGGTTTGTGCGGTTTTTTACACACCCCTAGTATTTATAGAAGAGGTTTAATGTTGTTTGAAAGGTAAAATTAAAAAAAAAAATTAACCCTAAATATGGTCGTTACTCAACAGCCAATCAAATTGGCCGTTTCCATTCGTTGTCCCGAGCACGACCACGAACCACTACGAGCCACTAGGATGGTGTATGCGGTCGTGGTTCGTGGCAACCTAGACCACGCACTCGTCCATTGCAACGCTATCGGGCGGCCTTATAATCTTTCATTGGATCGTTCCGTTTTGCATGTGGATTGTGCCGTTTTGGACAGTGTCCCATTTCGGACATGTGTTCTGCTCCGGTGCTTTCATCAGATTACTGTAATCCAATCAGGATTACCCCACTGCCTCAACTACTGCTTTGATACTCATCTCTACCGCTCTAATCCAATTGGGATTAGCCCCCCAAAAATCCCTTTCCGTTCTTCCCATCGCTCTTTCGTTGTAGTCACCCCGCTGATCCACTCAAGAAATGATTACTTCCGATGTTATTGGTTATTCTCCCCACTGGAAGCCTTCGATGCCCATTGCAGTCTCAGGCGCTCCTCTTTCTTGATTTCATAGATGGTCATTCCACCGCTTCTTCCGATCAGATTCTCGAACTCATTTCCGCTTTCAACAACTTCACTAACATCGGCTTGCGGGTTCCTTATGTTCACTATTATTGAAGTCCTCCGTTCCGTTTTTCCTCTAAGCGTCATCGTTATTTTTTCTCATTTAATCTTCGAATTTCCGTTTCTGTTAAGACAGATGGGCTAATCAATTGTAGCATATGGAGTTTGTAGCCAGTGTTTTCAGATCGTGTTTTTCGATCAGCTTGGCTTTGCTGGTGTCGCCGGAGCATAAGCACCGTCAGTTGGGTAAATTTTGTGAGAAGATGAACCTTCCTCCTCTTATTTATTTCTTATAGAACACGGAAATTTCCCCCTAACTCCCCCAATCTCAAAACTTTCTCCGATCCTCCACCAACGAAGAAGATCGAGTAGTTATTAATTGTTGGATTGACTTTTTCACGTGACGGAATAATCATCAATATATATATATTTTTTTTAATTTCTGTAATACATAGTTGTATTTGGGATGATTTAAAGCCAAGTTGGTGTCGTATAGAAGTGGAAGGAAAAAATAAATTGACTGGTTTTTTTTCCTAATAGACGAGCATAAAGGAATTCATTTTCTTTCTTTCCTTGAGCTCTCTACTGTCTTTGCTTACTGATATATTTGTATGGTTTTCTTAAAGAAGCTTTCAAGAATTGACTGACATTTGAAGGAGAGTTTCACTATGCACCCCAATTGGTCGATGAAATGCTTGAATCATGGTATGTTGATTTTCAGCCAAATTAACTAGGTCTATTATATAAAACCTTTAATCCATAAGTTTTTTATCTGATTGAATCTATTTTGGTCTAATTCTATATGGTGTTAGTGGGAATAAAACAAACTCAAATGTAGAAACTCGAAAATATCTATATTTTTAGAAGGGGTGTAAATAAGTCCAGTTATTCGTATGTGAAGTCGTTTTTTACCAATAAATTACTCCATGGTTTGCTATCTGTTGCAGGTATTCATTCCTCTCCCTTTTTGTGTCACGGTTTACAAGCATTATTTTTTATGTGTTTTACTTTTTTGGGGTAAACAATTCTTCTCTAAATTGTTATGTTTAACTATGTGTGTGTTTACAGGACCTCATAAGGGAGGACAATGAAATAGGGGACCCGAAAGATGAAGCCATTTGAAGATATTCAAATTGTAACGTGCTTTTTAAAGTTTAGTTATCCAAATATGAGTTCTTGGTAAATTTATTGATTGGTATAGTTTACTATATGAGAATTGAAGTGATAGCAACAAAGGCTACTTTAATTTTGCTTCTGTGAATTGATTTAGGTTAGTAATGGTTTTGAATAGGCAGCTAATTAGTAATATTCCATGCTTTTTGGTATGAAATTTTACTTATTTGACTTTTCTTTTTGGAAATTGAAATATGTTCTTCTAATTTTGTGATTTTTGTGTAGTACCTGATTGTTTTCTACTAATACTCTAAAATTGAATGGAATTGGATACAAACATAAATTTGTTGCCACAAATTTATGATAACTTCATCATTGTTTTTCAGAACATGGAGGGCCAATTCGAAATTTAGTCTCCTTCAATCCACTTGTGGGTAAAGGTTAGTTACTTGACGACGTTTGCTTTCCCATGGAAAGTGAGTTATGTAAATCTGTATTACAAAAGCCATGCCCTCATGCCTCTCCTGCATCAAGTTCACCACCATCTGCTCCATTACCCCAGCAAAGCCTAATGAATGTATGTCCAACACAACTGCATCCGTGAGTTATTATATATATATATATATATATATATATATATATATATTGTTTTTATTAACTATTGTGTGCCAAAATACATAGATCTGGACCACCGGATGGAATAGAATCAAAGATCATGATCTGAGGGTCTATGATATTAGAATAGGATAACATGTATCATATAATCACACAAATTTCAGCATAAGGGTATTTTAGTCAATTAACCTATATTAAAAAAAAGGAAATTTTCGGATTTTTAGGGATAATTAATTCATTTATTTTTAAAATTTTGAATATTTTAAATTAATTCAAATTTAAAAATCTGATTTTATTCTGTCAGAATGATAGAATGTCAACCATAAACTAGGAAATATATTTTTCGATTTTATTCTGTCAGAATGACAGAATGTCAATCATAAACTAGTAAATATATTTTCGATTTATTCCTTTAGAATACACAAAATCGATTCTTGAATTAATAATATACCAAATAATTACATTGTATGATTGTAATTCATTGTATCATAACAACATTCTGAAAGAATAACAAGTGTAATTCTTAAAAAATAACAACATTCTTAAACAGTGAGTGTGATCAATCTTTAATTCATTCTTCAAGTTTTTCCCATCTAGTCTTCAAGACATTCTTCAAGCCATTTCTATCACAAATTCATTGTCAAATATTTTGTAGTGATACACTTGTAACAACTGCACATTAAACATATAAATAATTAACTACAATTCTATCAGAATACAACAATAATATTCTTATAGAATAAACTATTCTTGCATAATGATTTTGAATATTCTTAAAGAATTTGTATTATGCAAATGTTGGAGGACCATTCATAGTTTATCAACGAAAAAAAACTTGTTCTTTCATCTAAAAAGATAACCAAAAGATAAAAAGAATGAAGTATAGCCAAGAAGAGAACATGACATCTTCTTCAAAACCTAAACCCATAAAAAACTATGTAACTAGAATACTACTACTCAACCTTTAATTCTTTCAGAATTTTATAAATATAAAAAGCAATACGTATAGTTTAATCTAAAAGAATAATTCAAATAGAATTCACAAATTTTCGAGATCAAAATACTTTTTGAAATTGACTTTATGTATATTCTAAGAGAGTGGTCAACTAACATATTTAATAAAAACGTAAACAATATATTACAAAGAATGCATCCAAAAAGCTCAATACAATCAACAATGTTAAATTATTATCTAAAATATAATTTCAAAAGAACCCTGACAAGATGATTGTTATATGATTTTGTTAGAATATAACACACTGTACATATTATTATAATAAAATTATAAAATTGTTGCAGAATATTCTTAAAGAATGAAACATGTGTCTTCACTAAGAACACCATTTTGACATCTTGTGAATACAAATCAAATCATGATTGAACAACAAATGCAACTAAAAGGTAAAAACCGATAATCAGGGAACCAAAAAGAAAATCCAATTCGAGTAGACCTTAACCTAAAAAAAATACCTCATTTCTGAAAGATTGAACAATTTGAGCAGCAGCAAAAGGTAGCTTGTTACCATTGTAATAATATAAGTCTTTGACGACATGAAGTTGTAGAAGGATTAGCCCTCTTATTATCTATCTGAAAAGCCCCATCCTCTTCGTTCTCCCTCCAACTTAATCTATAACGTTGGGAAGAGGCAGGCAATGAGAAAACCACAGAAGGTAGAATCATATCACAGCAGATTTAGGGTTCTATCGGTGGTGGCGTTGACGACCTAAAATCCCCTGCTGCCTTTGTTTTCACCTCCTTTTGCAGACTCCACAACAGGCACCGAGCACCTCTTCACCGCCATCTGTTGTTGTTGCTTTTCCCTGGTTTTCTTGTTGTCGACAACGAGAAGAAGCAACCCCAATCAACAAATTAGGGCATAAATCTTCAGAATCCGACGTTTAGACCACGAAGCACCAGCCTTAAACTGGACCCTAGCCATCATCCTCAATCTGAAATCAATCATACAGAGACCTTTCGCTACTGATATCATTCTGATCATCAACATATGTAGACGAGGAAATAAATATTGCCTGAGCAGTCGTCTCATTTTTCTTTGCTGAAATAGGTAACGATGGAGAGCCGATGGAGGGAACGATGTTCGCCGGAGGAAGAGGCGATGTTCGATGCAGACGAAAAAGAGGGTGATATCTAGGGTTTTAAACTGATTTCCATTATTTAAAGGAGGCATTAAATGATTTATTATTTTTTACCATAATTAGATATACTAAGTTTACCATTATACCATTTTTTAATTTATTTAATGATTTATTATTTCCTGAATTCTCATTGGTGCATACATGCACACAATAGTTGCTAGAAACATTTGAACCTAAATATATATATATATATATATATATATATATATATATATATATATAGTAAGTTAATGATTGATAATTGTTTTTATATTAGTTATTCAAATAATAGTTTGATTAATCATTAATTACTTGGTCACAGAGTATTAATGATTGCATAGCTGACTAAAAAATTTGGAAGATATCGGATTTTCAGTTGGTTTATTCAGTCTGATCCAAACAGGTATGTTGATTACATTCTTTAATGCTGTCATATAAATAAGACCTAATTACATTAAAAAAAAACATTATATTTTGGGCACTTTTGTCGTTTAACTACCATGAGCATTCATATTTGAATTTATATTCTAATATCCATATATCTCTAAATGTTACCAAGATTTCTAACTTTTCGTTACTTACAATTTTACAAATTTCAAAAATATGTTTTACAAGTTTTAGAATGTTTCATTTATAAGTATGCATGTATGATGTTAAAGAAATGGAATTCAGAAGGTCTAATCCGAATTTTCTTTTGTATAAAACTTTATTGACTTATTTGAAGAATGCTGAAAATGTTTTCTTTTTTGAAGCTAATGAGTTGATTAAAAGGATGTTGGATACAATGATTTTTTGTTTTCATCTAAAAGTGAATATGAGTTTCCAGGAACATGTTTTCAGTTTAAGGGAATTTTTGTATTTCCGAGTCACCGTTGATATGATTTTCTTTTTTCCTTGAATTTCAAGATAGAAGTGAAAGACCGGATAGAAGTTTGGAACATGCCTACAGACGATCTAATATAATTCATACCCCATAATAGCAATGTACTTGCACTTTTTTTTTTACAGAAACTAGCGATGCATCGTCCATGATAGCATGGTACTTATATTTGTTCGCACCTAACATAAACTGCTAATGATTGTGATATCTACTTCTACTTTACTTCGTTTTTAAGCCTCGTACTTACAGAATCAATCAATTATACCGTCTTAATTTCGTAACACAACAAACATCAACAAAAAGAATCTGACCCGTGCAACGCACGGAACTCTTCACTAGTTATAATACTTTCTTAAGTTGCGTATGAATCATCAATTTCGATGAGCTTTTTTTTAGACTCTCGTTGTAAATATAACAAAAATACATGTGTATTTTATGCTAATGACAAAATGATCTTTGATATTATATATCCATCGGCCCATAAACTAAAACAATTACAGTATGTACTTGTGGTGCATAATCTAAAGTTTGTTATTAAGAGATGAGTTATGTCATTGTCATAAAGTATAAGAGCATTATGCAACTTATACCACTAAATATTCAACACACACCCTTTGAGAAATTATGTTTTACACCAAGGTCCCTCATAAACAATCTACTTTCGAAACTTGCTATACACTTTCATAAAATCGAACAAAAACGAATTTACTAACTCAATTAAACTTCATCTAGTTGAAACAAAAGCTGCCTACATATCGGACAAGATAATTGTGAAAGAAGCCATTTATCTATACATTTAACATGAAACCAGTGTTTACACTTTGGCAAATTTCAAACTTTTTCACCGTTACTGAACACTCCAAGACAAATCGGAATTTTCATCTCCGACTGAATAAATCTTGTTATTCTATTGAACTATATAAAATCGTCACGTGCATTTTGCTTAAAATGTTGTAAAGTTAAATAAGTTAGCTAAATTATGTTATGGTAAGGTCATGAAGTCATTTTTGGTGGTGCAGAAACTCTTGATGTGCTTGAAAGTTTGGTTCTTGAGCTATTTTGCAAAGTCAAAAGCAGCTAAACATGTCCATATTCTTGATCTATCATGGACATTGTCATGTCTTCGAAAAGACTACACAAAGAAAGCAGAAGACTATGTGTAACATCTCATAGGGCAATAAGATAATAAATTTCCTTTCTATTAAAAAAATGTTAATCTAGTCAATCTATTAAATGCAATCTAATAAATTTGCTATGACTATGAATCTATGACACACTTTTGAAACATGTTTCATATGTTCTTTCAGACTCCCTCATAACTCTCCAACAGAAGAAATTCCCTTATTTCTCTCTATTAGCATCTTTAGAAACGCCATCTTTGTTTCGTGAGCCTCTGCAACCATAAAGTTCTCACGAGCTGTCTCGTTTTGGAAGACATTGTATGCTTCTAAATATCTCGATGAACCTTCTTCAAAACCTGGGAAAATCTTCACAATGTCCATGCACTCTTTTGTTGTTGGTGAGGCGTCGTAAGTTGCTTCTAAAACATTAT